AATAAAAGGTAAGAGGAATTCTAGCCGGAGAATTGTGCGGCTTGCATTTTTTGGTTCGCCTACGAACGAAAGCACACTTAAGACATACATTTCTTAACAAAGGTGTATGGAGGAGAAATACGATCACTCCTTTTGGGGGGATGGCGGAAGCGATCCATCTTACCTAATGTTTTGACAGTGCGACAGGGGTGCAACATCGTGCTATTTCCTCGTGGCCTTGTAGCCGATATGTTTTGTATGATGCATGGCCTGGACAAGAACACCACCTCCTTCCTCTCGAGGTGTTTGTGGGCACTGATGGCCGCAGACAGAGACCAGGCCCCTATTACTATGTCCACTTCATAGGCTTGATAGGCAGGCGCTTCGAGCGGCGCCGCTTTCCCGGCGTTTCCCAGCAAGCAGGAGATCTACAGCATTGCAAGCACACTGGATGTTCTCCTATGTTTCAAAGGATGGATTACGAGCGCTGCACCCACTGATACTGGACCGCTGGAATTGTCCCATTAATGGTTTTTTATCCGCTTGACTTCATTTTCTTCTTCATGAGTGTGTTTGTCATTCCCTTTGAATGTCCATAATAAGAAACATGGTTCAATATCATTATAGCTGTTAAGGTTAATGTAATTCCTTGCAGCCAATCCTTTGGTAGGACTCATTTCCACACTTTCTGCTAGAGATCCAAAAGTATTGTGCCTCTTCTGCCCCAGCCAGTCCTGGTTTTGGAGGAGTAGAAAACAAAAGCAAGCAAGCATTCTTCAAGCAATTCCACCACAACTGCTCGTGTTTAAAGTATTAAGTGAACGTACGGTACCGTACAATAGACAAAGTCTCTATGATTTGACTAAATACATTTTTTGAAGGGAGTCTTAATTGCAGGAAACAGCTTGGATTGAGTCTCTGAGCAATCGTATTCTTAACTTGGAACCGTCGACATGTTGTGTACATCTCCTTGACTGCACCCCTTGTACCCCTCTGTCCAAACGTTCCTGCAGAATGGAGCACGAGGACGCCCTCAACTTGTTTAGAAATTGTTCATCAGGAACGCCCGCCACTTCGAGAGCTCGTAATGCTGGACACTGCTTGACGAGTGAAGCCAGCATCTCCTCCAGCCCCGAGCCTTTGTTGTCTTCGATGTAGATTTTTGTCAGCTTGTAACATGGAAGCTCGACCTCGTGGCTGGAGAACAACTGATCCGTCTCGGAACACTTCCACGGATGGCAATCGCAACATCCACTTATTGTCAGCTCCTTGCATTCCCTCAGCTGCGGCAATACCAGTATCAGCTTGGCAACCTTGTGCGCACAATATCCTCCTGTCAGGCATCCATGGCTTTTCAGCCTTACGCACGCAAAGTGTCTCCTGTCCACAGCTGCAGCCGTTCGAAATCCAGACGAGTAGAGATCTAGACTCTGCAGTGGGCTGCCTAGGTCCAAGCTAACAAGCTCTTGGCAAGAACCAAGTGAGAGACGCTTGAGACGCGGAGCTTTCAGCTCCAGCTTCATGCAATCACCTACAAAAGCAGCCTCCAGATCTGGAAAGTCCAACTTAAAATCCCCGCCAGCTTCTGCCTCCAGCCGCAACTCTCTCAACCTTGCTGAGCGCAATAATCCATTGAACCCAAACATCTCCGCCTCCAGCCTTTCCAGCCTTGGACACGAATCCAGAAGCTGCTGAAGCTCAACACCAACGACCTTCTTGAGCATGCAGCAAGTGAGGGCCGGAAATGACACCAGCATCCTCTCAGTGTTCCCACAGCCATGTCTCGCCATCTCACGAACCTCAACCCTGGCTAGAGACATGTATTTGAGCTTAGAACACTTGAAAAGGCACCCCAGATCAAAGGGCTTGTCTGGTTCCAACACGCCGCCATCTATAGTGATTTCCTCGAGTCTGTCGCTTAAACCCACCAGCCACGAGTAATCACTGCCCAAATACATGTCGATGCTAAGCCTCCGGATCCGACCCAGCTCGAGACCTCCTCCCTGGAAAGCCGGCCACTCCAGTGGGTAGTCGATCGACACATCCAGTCCAACCTCCTTACCAACTCGATTCCACCTCTTACAAACCAAGCAGTACCCGGCATAGTCCTTGCCACCTTTGTTACTCACACGCGAGAGGATATCATATAAAACTTCATCCGGCAGCCTCTCGATTGCGCTCCTGACCTTTTTCGCTTCCATTAGAATGACCTTATTTTTTTTCTTTCAATACCTATGCCTACGTTGAAACCGTGTTCGATTCTAGCCACCGAAACCAAATCGATCTTTTCGCCGGGCAATCTACAACCGTTGGATTCATCGATGCGTGCATACTGGATTGTTATCACTGCACATGGCACTTATCTCTCATAAGAATCTGCATAACCGGGTGAGAGAAGAGCCAGGTTTTGGTGTGGGAGGCCTCCCTGCGACGCATGTTTTGCAACGCGGCTGTACCTGCGTCAAGTTACACGTTAGCTCCGGATAGTTTTGCAATTGTATAGAGGTCCTTGCTAGGAACGACGGGCCTTGATGTTTTGTTGCTCCCGAGCCAACCAAGGATACCATCAAAATGCTGGCACGGGAACAGAAGCGTTAAAAGTGTGATGAACACCAGCAGCCTGGACGACAGAAAAACACGAGTGAGAACTCCACTAACCCTGGCAATGGCTGACTAGAAGAGCTTCAAGCATTACCATGTGGGCAAGCCGCGAGGTAAACAGGTCGTAGCTGAGATAATTGTTAGACAGACATGAAGAAAGAAAGAGCAGCCAAGTTAAGCAGTGCGAAGACAGTATCAGGCTGCCTGGGGTTTGCCTCGAACGTCCTCCCTTTTGCTATGAGGAGATCATCATCATGCATCCTTTCCTTGTAGAAGCTATGTTATACATTCCATCTAAGACTTGCACCTGATAATCGATATTATCATAACAAAGAATCATACTTACCAAAGAAAAAGAAGGGCCAGGTGTAGGCAATGTGCCACAAGATTTATTAAATTTATTTTTTCATTCATATTTTTCTGTTGACTAGAATAATTTAAAATAAATTTTTTTATCTCAATTACTTTTAACTAAATATCCTTTAAAATTTATATAAAATTTTAGCATTTAGTTATTTTACATGTAATTATTAACTTTGACATTATTTTTTAAAATATGATAATATATTAAACCAATGTCTAGCTTGGGAGCAAGCAATGAGGGTGCTACAATCGCAAGCACAAACACTTCTATTGCTACTTTTCATGGCCCTCTTTTGCCTTCATAAAATTTCCCACCAAATTCTCACCATTTTCAATTACTTTTAATTATTAAAACTATCGCAACTTAAATAAAAATATTACTATAAATATAAACTCTAAAAATACAAAATTCTAGATCTATATTTTATTATATTTTTTAATAATTAATGTCAAAGCTAATAATTACATGGAAAATAACCAAAAGCTAGAAATTTATACAAATTTTTAAACATATTTGGTTAAAATTAATTGAGAAAATAATGTCAAAATCATATTTTAAATTATAACTTTAGTATTTAATCAACAAAAAATATGAATGAAAAATAAATTTAATAATTCTTGAGAAACTACAATAATGCAAAAACCGATAGTTTAATTTTATATATATATCTATAGTTTTAAAGCCACTTTAAAACTCAAAAAGTTACATAAATATTTAATAAAGGTGTTTGACATATACAAGTTAATTAAAACAAACACTAGTCTCCCCTCTAAATTAAAAAAACATTCTGGACCAGCTTTAAAATAATTATAAATATTAAAATATTATTTTAATATTTAAAGAGCCACATGTATTAAGGTTATAATCAAATTAAATACTTTTCATTTCAAGCAACTTAAAAATAAAAATTTAAAGTAGTTAAGATTGTTATTATAATGCTTATAAGATGCATAGTTTACGACCTATATACATGACATTAAATAGAAAATCTTTTAGAGCTTGGCATAAAATAAAATAAAAAAATAAATTTGACAAAATTCAATCATATATATTTATGTCTTAAAGAAATTTTGTTTTAATAATAAAAAAAAAATCTTTTTCTTTCCAGGATGTTTTTGCACTTAGAGTTCACTATTTTGTATAAGTCATTTAGTATAGTTTTTTTATATACTTATTTATCTTCTAAGAAATTAACAATGCATTACAGAGAATTCAATTTACATACATTTTTTTCCAAATGCTATGGTCAGAGAGAGAGGAGACCAAGTTAGAGTGCATGCAGCTGGATTTAATTCACAAGTAGGTCATCACACTCTATTCCTTCCATTCTATAATCCAGCTTTCGCCAGGCCAGGCCGATAAAACAACTAACCCTCGTACATAAAGAACATGCTGGATTAACATGAAAAGAGATGCTCGACGCCATACGATTCTCTTGCCTCGCAGAATGCCAGAACGATTCTCGTTGTGGTCGGGCATGCACACGCCAGCAACGGCGATCCAGAAAGATGTGGTATTGTGGTTGATCAAACCGGTCAGGTTATAATATCCCGCTGCGAAATCAACATAGGACTTTGGGCATACGTTGATACAAAAACAGTTCTTGCCGTGGCATCATTGGCTCAATTCAATCTTGACAGACGTCAAGGACGCCGGGTTCATCACTGGCATCGGTTCGAACAGAGCACCACTATAGCAGAAAGCCCTCTGCGCCATCGCATCCCAAAAGACAAGACGAAAGAGGTAGACGATCATGGATTCAAACCTCGGATTCTGGCGGATTATATCATCTCCAGAACTAACCGTTACCGTTGACCGGTACGAAGCAAAGACTTATAGTGTATAGCTTGTGATCATGGCGGCAAAAGCCCGCCGGCCATGTCCAAACAGGCGTAGGCAACCGACACTAGCTCCGACATAAGGCCCGGCATTCGACAGAGCACGAGAACTCGCAGTGCTGTGGCATGCGATCGAAAGTAGCGAGCAAATTACGACGCCATTTCGATCGTGCGCAGGAGCGTGTCCCAGGAGATGGCGTGTCCTTCTCGGGAAAAAAAGCTAGCAAAAACGAAGCTCCTTGCTTCTCTAGTAGAGCAAATTGGCCGCTGTTTCCTGTTCAAATCTACGGCACAACCAAAATCATCCAGGTAGAAACGATGGCCGGGAACAAGTCGCTATGCTCGTCGTTCTCTGGCTGGCTGAAAAAAGCTAGCCGTTTGCAACTAACAGATTAAAAGGATTACCTGATCCCAAAGTCGAGAGCGGCTCCAGGCAAAGCTAGTACCCGAAGCAAAGATGACTGCTTACCTTAGTGGAGACAAGATAAGAAACCAAGCTCCTGAGCAAGTGGACACCTATTAGTGAGATTTATACAACAACACAAACACACAAACCAGGTGTCGCTGATGGCGAGAAACCACACCACCAAAGCGGTCCCTGTGCAAGAAACACAAGTGTTTGCTCTTTATCACGATCAAGGACGAGAAAGCAAAAGATCAAAGGACCTTCTATATCGTTCTACTGGACAAGGTGATTTTGGAGGCCAGGTGGTGGCACTCTCGTTGGTAATCCAACTCCGGCAGCACAAGCGTTGCATTCATTATCCTCGCTGCCAAGACTGCATTATAAATCAGCAAAGACACATCCATGAAAACCGAAGGCAAACGAAATTTCTCTTGCGGCACTGCGCTGCTGGCCAGATAGCGATTGCTTTTCTTGGGATGGGCTGCAACATAGTCTGCTCAAAGATAAAAGGAGGAAAGTACTTAACACGCAACCAAAAAGAGATTGCCTCCAGCCGACTCTGCCTTGAAAACAACAAAGAGGAGCAAGGAAATCATGAGGAATGCTTACATGAGAGTGAACGATGACACCGTCGTGCTCTACACAGTAGCATGGAGAAAATCTGACACTCTTCCTAATGCCGACGCTCCAGAACGCTCATGTGATCGTCTTGCGAATCAAAACGAGAGAATGCAAAGAACCATAGAACCACCATTTGGAGAGCTCGCGCAGGCTCAAGAAACAGTCATGTTGCGCAGCAGCACGCTGATCCGAAGGATCCGGAAACAAGTAACCGCTGTAACATTGCCGCCGGCGCCTGCCACTCGCGAGACTCGCGATGCTGTGGCGCTCGCGCCACCCTCGCCGTGAAAGGCAGCCATGGCCGCCTCAACCACAAGCTGCCGGAAAGCACCCAACTCTAGACGAGGGAACAAATGCTGCTCGAGCAAATGCTCCATGTGCTGCTAGATGAAGGAGATAGCTTGATTCGTTGCTATCCCAAGCAAGAAATCGAAGCTAAAACGAAGCCCAGACTGATCACATAATCCTCTTAAGGGCAATTAATGCTTAGTTTGGGAGTAAATAATAAAGGCGTTATAATTGCAAGCATGAGCACTTTTATTATTGCTTTTGTTGCTTTTGACATAATTTCTTCATGCTTTAATAAAATTCTCCATCAAATTTTCATTGTTTGAACATCCTCTTTTCACAAGCACAAAGACACGCTAGCCATCGCCAAGAGAGGAGAAAGCGATCGAGGGATTGAGAGTAGAAACCAGGACAGCAAAGAAAGCAAAGGAGATCTCGTGCCCTGGCTGGAAAACAGAAAGCTCGAAAGCTAGCTTTCCGGATGATCACAAAGTGGTATGGAATCCATTGACAGCTTTTGGATGAGGACTCCAGAGGCAAAGATGGAAGTTGCCCCTGTGTTCCCCCAGCGAGCTGTAAAGAATGTTGCCTCGCGTGTGTCGAATTCTCACACTTCTTCCTTATAGATTCTCTTTTTCGCGCTCGACAGCAAACTTGGCCTGCACAGCTTAGTTTCCAAGCAGGAAGAAACCTGATACGCACGTCCAGTAGCAAAGGGAGCCCCAGAATTTTGGACGACGTTGAATCTGCAGCAAGCATATGACGCGGCCGAGTTAATCGCTGCAAACAGTGAATGAGCTTGCTGGAAACCATGTAAACATACCTTGTGGAGCATAAGAAGTATGATGGCCATGACGTTGAAAAGAAACGAGTTGACGAGCGTGCCTTGGTACCTATAGTTTCATGAAAAGGAAAAGCACTACGTTCTAGGAATTCACGCTTAGAAATGGCATCGACAACAAGTACCCCAAGAAGACTTGGTTGAGAAACGTAAATATTTCGTACCCGAGAATGCCAAAACAAGCTTGAACTGTAAGAGCCCAGGATGTGTCTGCCCAGCAGTGGAATCAGCACAGAAGAAACTTAATAGAAAAACTACGAAGGTACCTTCTCTCCGTGGGAATGCCTCGTTCAGAGCTTGAGCATCGTCTCCCAAAACGGCAAGCTCCTGAATCATGTTTTTCCGTTTCTGTGCGCAGTGGCCCTTGGATTCACATTTTTCCGAAACTTCCGTCCTTTCTTCCCACCTCTCTCTTCGCGTTGGAGAGCTTGCCTCAATCAGTCGCCTCCTGCAAAGCCATCACCTTGAAGAAACGAAAACAGAATCGATGCAAATACCTTTACGTATTGAGTCTGTTTTTGGTGAAAGCAAATATGCTACGCCTCCAAAAAACATGTACAAAAGGCCTTTTCAAGTTACCTTGATGCGTAAGTCGGGAAACATCCACACAGAGATCCAGAACGTAAAGGCTGCACACTGTCACACAACATTGCCAGATCAATGAAGGAAAGCACGGAGCCTCGGCATTGAGCGAGCTAAAGTCATTGGTGGAAGCCATCGTCGTGGATGGAAGACGTCTCACGGTGAAATCGGCACAGCCAATCACAGCTTCAAGCAATCACGTACAAAAGAGTTTAAGAACGAAAGATGGAAAAGAGCTCCTTACCAGATAGAAGTCCCAAGACTGTGAGGAGTATCACCACCCACAAGAGGGCGCTCTTTTATCCTGGAAAACCACAAAGAAGAAAGAAAGGTTTTTTAGATCGTGGAGGAAGAGAAACTTAAGAAACTCTACTGTCGATCGGGAGCTAGAGGCTCTTCTCCATAACCAGCGGCAATTGGCAACCCTGGAAATTCTTCTCTTTTCTTTAGAAACGCGAGGTGTGATGTGATCCCAGGTGGGAGCATGTTTGCAAGAGCATTCGCAACGTAGCCTAGTCATGCACTTTTTCGCTGACGGAGGAACTAGCTGGCGGAGACGTGGTTCTAGAGGCAGCGGAGCCTCAGCTCTCGACAATGACGCTCGCGGGAGAAGTACTACACTCAGCTGGAAAGGGCATCGAAGGCGTGAGAGTTGAGGGAATCGGTACCAATGTCGCAATCATGAAGGTACCTCCATGATTTTTCTCACACGTTTCTGCAACTACCGGAGCTAAGTATTCCTTCTGTAAACTGTGAGAGGGAGCCACTCAAGGCAGCAATGCTTTGTCCGCTCTTCTCGTAAGATCATTTTCGTTTTCCACTCGTGGCATGAGTCGCTGTGCTATTAATCCATGCGGAGATTGGGTCCGCTATCTTCCACCGCTTCTTCTCCGTGTCATCGTCTTGTACATTCCCTGGCTGCGCTACAGCTCTAAAGGCAAACGGGACCACGAGATCGTCGTCCCACCACCAGCCAAAGCACACTAGTACTGGAGCAACTCACAGCATCGGGTGTGATCCAAGCGGCAAACATCTTCCTCTTGAAGACTCGCGCCTCGGCTCCAGAGTTTCATGGGTGTTGACTCTCGAGTTTTTCTCCACAGGCGGCCGATCAGCGATTCTGGGAGGACTGGCGCTGGTTCTAGCGGTGCTGCCACTCCGCTGGATCGCCCTGTTGGTGTTCTTGGATATGCAAATGACGCGAAGCTCAATGAAAGAGCGGTGGAACAGCATTCCCGTTGTTTCTGTGCGAGTTGCGGACGAGTCGCAGCTCCAAAGACGAAGAACTCTCCAAAAGAGACACAGAAGAAATCCCATTTCCATTTAGCCTAGTATCGGGAATCGAACCAGGTACCTTTAGTTTTTGAAAAAAGTAATAAAGGGGAAGAAGAAGAGATTCGAGCCCGAGATTTGTGCGTGCGCAGTGTTATAGCCGAGGAAGACCCACAGCTTGCATTTTTTTGTTTTTCTAGGGTTTGTGGAGATCAAGGCAATGTCTTGAAATGGCGGCCTCGTTGCGCGTGGCAGATCTTAGGGCGTCTCGAGGAGCGTGGATCCGAAGGCGCTAAGCGCGCCGTCGCTCTCTTTCTGGCGCGGTCGCCTCTTCCTTTGTCATCGGCTACAGTGGGGCGCCATTGACTCTCTCTGCCAGGGGCTAGGTTTTCTCGCGTGATGCTGGAGGGGAGCTGACGCAGTGTGCGGCGGGGGAGCAATGGCGAGCCGGGTCAAGGAGCAAGAGAAGAACGAGAAGATTATCCGGGGCCTCACCAAGCTCGCGGAGAATCGCAAATGCATCAACTGCGGAAGCCTGGTATGTCTCAGATTCCTTGCTACTGCAGGAAATTTTGTCTTGTTGAAGCGGATCTGTGGCTCACGAAGGGTTTCTCGCTGTTTTTCAGGGTCCTCAGTATGTCTGCACGAATTTCTCTGTGTTTGTGTGCACTACTTGCAGCGGGATCCAGTAAGTGTGAATTTCTTTCCCATTCTTTTTCTTCATCCTTGCATTGCTGTGTTTTGCAGCCGGGAATTCACTCACCGGGTAAAGTCTATCTCCATGGCGACTTTCACTCCAGCGGAAGTGTCTGCTTTGCAAGCTGGTGGCAATCAAGTAAGAGAAACTGTTTTAAACAGACACTTGCGCTTATGATGCTTTGTATTTTGCCAGCGTGCACGAGAAACTTATCTCAAGGAGTGGGATTCATCACGCCAGTCTCTGCCAGATACAAGGTTGCAGAGATCTTAATAGCTGTCCTAGTGTTTGATCTGTTTGTTTTTCAGCAACCCAGACAAGCTTCGGGATTTTATCAGAGCTGTGTATGTGGATAAAAGGTTTTCTGGGGACAGAAGAGGACGATTGGTAAGAATGCTTTTTGTCTTTGTGCTGCATTTTTTTAATTTCATTTGTCTCAAACGTATAGAGTGATGGAGAAGATACATTTGACTCTCGCAAACAGCAGCCGGATCGCTCCAGATATGGTCAGAGCCCCTCGTACGATGATCGCAATGACGACCGCCGGTACACTAACAGACCAGTATCTCGTGGTTCAGACCGGGGTTTTGATGACAAGATGAGTCCTGCCAGGTTTGATGAGCGTGATAGATACGAGAAGGGCTACCAGGCTGACAAGGATAGGGACAGGGATAGAGATAGACGGTATGACGAGAAAGACCGGCGTTTTGATGATCGTGATCGACGGTATGAGGACAGAGATAGAAACTATGATGACCGGGATGGTGGGAGGCGCTATGATGATAGAGATCGGCGATATGATAGACGATACGACGAACGAGAGCGGAGATACGATGATCGGAGATACGAAGAACGAGACCGGAGATATGATGAACGAGAGCGTTATGAAGATCAAAGGAGGGGGGATGATAACCGCAGATCATCGGAGGACCTTGACAAACGATTCAATCGACCGCCTAGTTATAGGGGTGGTGAAACTCCTCCTATGCGATCTGTCAGAGACATCTTGGGAGACGACGTGCCGAAACTACGAGTGGAAGATGGTTCTCGCTCGAACGGACGAGCGGAAGACAACACCGAAAGTCCTCATTCCGTCAGCAGCTCACAGGTGATCACTCTTAATTCTGACTCTTGTACTGATTTGTTTTGTTGGTAGCAGGGCGATGGGCGTTTGCGTTCGTTCAAATCTTTGGATGGGATGGGCAATGGAACTCCAAAAGCAGCTGTAGCTGCTCCTCAGCCAGCCATTTCGGAGAGCTTGATAGACTTCAGTGCGGATTCAGAGCCTCCGAAAGCGGCAACAACCACAGCTACAGGGTTTGATCCTTTTGCTGAGCCTCAAAAGCCAAGCACAGCATTTGATCCCTTTGCGACGACTACTGCGGAGCCTCCGAAACAAAATGCACCTTTTGACCCTTTTGCTACGTCTGGGCCTCCGAAATCTAGCCAAAACGTGCCGTTTGATCCCTTTGCTACGTCTCAGCAGCCCGCCCTCGTAACTTCCTCTAGTGATGGATGGGCCTCTTTCGATTTATCTCCTCCTAAAGTCCCCGCAGCACCCCCGACTCCTACAGATTTTTTCCAAGTAATGGACGTCCCAGTCCCGGCACAGGGAAAGTCGACTGGAGGATGGACTAATCCGCCACCAAATGGTTTTCAGAGTTCGCAGCCAGTCCAGAGTTTCCAGCCAGTCCAGCCAGTCCAGAGCTTCCAGCCAGTTCAGAGTTTTGAACCAGTTCAGGTAAGGCAATTTCTCGCGAACAAAGTTTCTAACGGGCTTGTCACCTAGGAAACATGGAGCGCTCAGCCGCCACAACAGCGCCAGCCACAGCCACCTCCACCTCAAGCACCAGTGGTTAATGGATTACAACAACAGCGGCGTGAAATTGCAGAGGTACTTCCAAATATTTCTTGCAACTTTAGCTAGCTATGTTCGTTTGTTTTTCGGCAGGATCTTTTCTTCTCGCCGCAAATGCCTACCTACAATGTAGGAGGAATGCATATGCAGATGAGATATCCCCCACCTCCACAACCTCAACCACACCATTTTGGAGCAGGCATGCCGCCGGTATGCGTATCAAAATTCGGTTTGTGCTCTCGTGTTGATGAATTTGCTCCAGGGAGCCATGCCTTACGCTCAACAACCTGCAAGAACGAAAAGCAATCCGTTTGATCTGCCTGGTGATCCCAGTCAAAGCGTACGTTAAGTTGGCTCTTACTGGCTGTGACAAAGCGGGATTTATCTTACAGTTTCCAAGCATGGCTCCTCTCCAATCTGCTTTACCTGGCTTCAACCAAGGCCCCGTAGGTGCTCCACCACCGCACTGGCAGCAGCCGGGAATGGCTCCTCCTCCGTCACTTCTGCCATCGTTTCCGCCATCTTTCCCTCCATCGATGCAAGGCAAGAGAGAATGGCTAGCTCTTTTTTTCGGGATCTAAGTGTTCTAAATACCTTTGTGTTTAGGTGGTGGAGGATTTCCTCCGCAGCAAATGCCTGGTCATATGATGCCACCACCTCCGTAAGTCGTCTTTCACAAGCTAGAAACTCTCTTATCTCGTTCTTCTCTTTTCAGGCAAGCTCGCGGGGGGTTTGGAAACCCGCAAGGCTTCATGAACGGCGGTGCTTTCCCCGTGCAACCCGCGGCCGGGGGAAATCCATTTGGTTAGAGCGCGACGATCGACGAGCGACGCAAGCAATACATATATAATCAACGAACACATCGGTTAGTGAGTGACTTGGGAGAGAGTGTGAGAGGGAATGAGAGCGCGAGAGAGTGAGCGACGAGTAAGAGAAAGCGTTTGAGAGACTCTCTGCGAGAGGCCATCTCTTTTGTGGAATAACGTGAGAGCTATTTGCTTGTTTATTTCTTCTATGTAGGTGGAGGAAAGAGATTGGAACCAAAGAGAGCTCTCTAGCTCCAAAAATTCCAGTCTGGTTCCTCCATTTACTACCTTTACAAAAGCAACGAAGAAGATTCTATGAAGACGAAAAAGATATCCAGGGGATCTTTATGCATGGCCGCTCTCCACGTGGCATAAATTTCTTTGCAAAATATTCCCAGGGCTATGAGGCGGCACTGCGATCGATCGGTGCGCTCCTCCTCTTCGCGCTCTCGGTGAGTCTCTTGCTCGATCGAGGAAACGTGATCTTAGCGGCTACATTTCCAGCTGAAATCCGCTCGAGGCGCGCGAGAAATGCTATCGCTGCCGCCATCGCTGATTTCTAGCTGGTGGCACGACGCGGCGCAATCCAAGACATGGATCTTTACTGTGCTTGGCGGTGCCTACACCGCGATCTCGCTCTGGGCTCTCGTAAGAAATCTCCAAAAGAAATCTCTCTTCTTGTTTTACTCTGCCTTCTTTAGGTGCAATTGATTCGAATCGAGCGGAGGGTCCCGGAGTATGGATGGACGATCCAGAAGCTCTTCCATTTGCTCAACTTCGTCGTGAATGGAGGTGCGTAGCTTATTCGCTGGCTATCGACTGTTTCATTCACGTACTGTTCTACAGTTCGAGCCATAGTTTTTTATCTGTGGATTCGGGTTTCATCACTTCCACTGGTATGTTCCAAGTTACATCTGACAATGTGTTCTTCATTCTTTGTTTTTTTGTAGGTGGTGCAATCCATCCTTGTCGATCTCCCTGGACTCCTGTTCTTCACAACGTACACGCTCTTGATCTTGTTTTGGGCCGATATATATCACCAGGTGAGCGATGACTGAACAGACGAAGAACTCATTGGGTTTTTGTGTACAAAGGCTAGAAGTATCACCGCGGAACGCTTCCGCACGGTGTTTGTCGCGATTAATGTCTGCGTCTACGTCATTCAGGTGAAGCACTTTGTACTTTTTATGCTTCTTTTCACGTAGTGCTCTGCGCCCTACTGACTTCCAGCTTATTCTGTGGATTGTTTCGCTCTGGATTCCGAAAGTGGCTGAGAAAGTCTTGTCGACAATCCTATTTTCTGGTACTTATTTCCTTTGTGGCTGCTTTGGAAGCACTGTATACGACAATGTTTTTGTTCTTTCCTTTGCAGCTATCTCACTTGCAGCAGCCATTGGGTTTTTGCTCTATGGTGGACGGTGAGTCTAACTCTTATCGACTAAAACAACGTAATGCTCTACTCTGCCGCTTCCAGCCTGTATTGCATGCTTCGAAGGTTTCCAGTGGAGTCCAAGGGGCGCGAAAAGAAAATCCGTGAGGTCGGTATTGGTTGAAAACTTTGGAAACGCTCGTGATTATCTCTCGTTCCAGGTTGGAGCTGTGACAGGAATATGTTCCATCTGCTTCGTCATAAGATCTGTTTTTGTGAGTGAATTTTCTACATGTTTTCTAAGCGTCACTCCAAACCTCCTCTTCAACAGGTTGCGTTCTCGGCTATCAGCAAGAGCAACAGCCTGGATGTCACTGATCATCCCATCCTCAACGCAATCTATTACGGGGTATCTATCTTTTCTCTTCCCTTGCAACTTCTCATTTTTGCTATCTTTTCCTTCTTTGTTTTTTCAGGCTGTAGAAATCTTACCATCGGTTCTTGTTCTTTTCACCCTGCGGAAGTTGCCTCCCAAGCGCCCGCAGCCACTGCTCCACTTCGCACTCGACGCTGGATCGCCATAGCTTCTTCCTTTGGCGACAATTTGTGAGTATAGTTTTTCTAGATTACTTTGTTATATACAAGAGGCGCAACTGTAGATCTATTGATCTCCTTCCAGATCGAACTAGAAGAAGTCGAAGTGATGGTGACGAAGTAGGCAGTAGACACAGACGAGCTGCTGGGATATGTAAACGAACACGGCCATGGAGATGCTCATCAGAAGAACATCGGTCAGGTCCCCTTTCTTCCGGGTGGAGAAGAGGAATTTGCTCAGCTCGGACAGCTTGGTGGCGATCATCGGCTTGAGGTGTTGGAGTGGTGGAGAATTTGGTGCCGGATCTCGCTTCTCAGCGGCAGCGCTGGTTGGGATCTCGTCGCATTTGCTACTTTCCTTACCAATGGAAGATACCTGAGCGGAGATTTGCCTGGGAAGAGCTAGATTCGTTCTGGAGCTCCCGAAAGCTTGGAACCTGTGGAGAGTAATCGAGGAGATCATGGAGGGAAGCTCAGCGCAGACGAGCGAGGCCATTCCAATTCGACTTCTTTCTCGCGAGGAAAAGTGAGAATGGAAAGTGACGAGTGCCAAGCAAACAGAGATAGCGTGTCGTGTCACAGTGTAAAGTGATGATATCTAAAGTTTAGGGTTTCAAAGTAAAAGGTAGACTAACCCACGTGGCAATAACGAATATCCTAACGCACAAATTAAAGTTTTCTAGGGTTCATGCTTGACTATGGAGAAAGCGAAGCTATGGTGGGTGCGATCCAACTGATACGCAGGGATGGGTTCGAGCCAGCATGAGAGGCTCAAGCGGAATCTTTATTCCACTTCGGGTATGCATCTCTTGTCCGCCGAGAGCAGCGATTTGTCGATCCCGATGGAAATGCAGCGGCAAATCCTTCACAGGCCGTGTCCAGCGGCTCTCAACTTCCACTCCACAATCGCTTGGCTGCGCAGGGATTCCATTCCCAGGAGGACCAGCTCCAGTCCAGGTATTCTCCACAATCAGCTCGAATTTGGAGGTCCCCGTCTCCTTCCCTCCACGGATTCGCTACCAGCAACCTCTCTGCCGGTACCGGCGAACGCATTTGCGCCACCGCCAGCGAGCGAAGAAGCGGCTGTCCTCCGGATCCAGGCTCTCTACAGGGGATCCAGGGTTAGAAGGTCGGCCATAGCCAATAAGAAATGTGTGGTGAAAGTACAAGCAACGTACAGGATGTGGAGGGATCGAAGTAGCTACAGAAGGATGCAAAGAGCCGCCGGGAGGATCCAGCAGAGTTTCCGGGCTTGGAGAGAGCGGAGGCTGGAAGCTCTGGAGCAAATGCTGCTGTTGGAAAGGAGATCAGCTCTCGTGATCCAGGCACACGCTCGCGGGCTTCTCGTCCGGCGTTGGAGGAGAGAACTGGAACAGGAGAAACGAGTTCAGGCTGCTGCTGCTACTGCGATTCAAGCCTTCTACCGAGGGTGGCAAACAAGGAGAAAAATGGAACAGGAGAAACGAGCTCAGGCTGCTGCTGCTACTGCGATTCAAGCCTTCTACCGAGGGTGGCAAACAAGGAGAAAAATGGAACAGGAGAAACGAGTTCAGGCTGCTGCTGCTACTGCGATTCAAACCTTCTACCGAGGGTGGCAAACAAGGAGAAAAATGGAACAGGAGAAACGAGCTCAGGCTGCTGCTGCTACTGCGATTCAAGCCTTCTACCGAGGGTGGCAAACAAGGAGAAAAATGGAACAGGAGAAACGAGCTCAGGCTGCTGTTGCTACTGCGATTCAAGCCTTCTACCGCGGTTTGCAAACAAGGAGAAAAATGGAACAGGAGAAACGAGTTCAGGCTGCTGCTGCTACTGCGATTCAAGCCTTCTACCGAGGGTGGCAAACAAGGAGAAAATTGGAACAGGAGAAACGAGCTCATGCTGCTGGTGCTGCTACGATTCAAGCGTTCTACAGAGGTTTGCAAACAAGGAGGCGGTACCTTTTGGCGAAGAGCAGCGCAGGGAGGATCCAGGCGGCGTACAGGACGTGGAGATTGTCTCTAAAAAGAGAAATGGCTGCCAACGTTATTCAAAGGTTCGTAAGGAGACGCAAAGAAGCCATCTCTCGGCCGGAGCCCATGGGAGCCACTACAGAAGATTGGAACACTGTCAGAGTGGAGCACTTGGATCAGTGCCTGGACACTTGCCTTGCGGCGTTAAACCCTCCTCTTCCGCTAGAGCGGCGGCCAAGCTCGTCTCCAGACCACACGGTAACTCTCAATTCTCATTCTCTTCCAGAGCTCACTGGATCGATCACACGACAGCACCAGAGCCTCAACGAGAAGAGACTCCAGCAAGTCGCCAGAGTTTTTCTACTGCAGCACCACATTGCTCTTCAGCAACAACGCGCAAAGAACGCACCACCATTCCCTCCAAACCGGAGCCATCTACAGAACTCTCAAAACCACTACAGGAACTCCCACGTAAACACGAACGCCAGCAACACAACCACAATCTCGAAGAACAGGATCGGAGATGGAGACGTGGTTTTGGATGTACACTACCTCCTCGAGGAAGTACGTAAGCTCGGTGCCTCCTCCGGCTCGGTTGTGTACATGCAAAACGATGACTCCACCTTGTTCGGCTCTGCCAACCATGAAATCATCGACTTTAAACGAATGAACGCTTTGCTGGTGGTGTTCGTCGCTGTGGTTGTCTACACAAGGAGCATCTGCCAGGAAGTTTTTGTCTGGGCAAAGCAGTCTACGAAGAAGTAGACCACAAAGCTCTCACCTGGAACAAGCTCGACAGTAACACACAAACTTTAGGATCCAGAGACTGGAAATCTAAACACTACAAGTTACATACACCAATACAAATTGTTTGTAGTCTAGGACAAGTGAGGTGCCTCTTTCTAAACTACGCGTGTGACCACCAAGAGAACCTACAACATGAGAAAGATGAGAAGAGATCCTCGGTGTTCTTACCACGAAGAGAACCATCTAGCGCTGAACACTTCAATTTCCTCGTTAAAATCCCATGCCATCATCCGAAGGTTGTTGTGCATTGACTAACTCATACCTTACGTTGCATTTTGATCGTGACTCCGGTCATGACTTCAATGAAGATTGTAACCGTGGCTTCAGGAGCAGCATCCGCATCCTCATGTGCTGCGAAGGCTTCCCCATTGCGTAGAATTTGTCAGAATGGAGAAGCTTGGCAACACTGATTCACGTACCAATACGCACGACTAAATAAAACTCTCCTGATGTGAGATGAAACCTTATCATCAACTAAACAGGCATGGCTGTTAACGATTTCTGCTCTGAATCTGCTAGAGAGATGTAACACACTGAAGAACATTGCCTCTCACTGTGAAAAGAAGAAGAAATAAAAGAAACTACTATATGTGAATTCACTTGTACATTTGCAAAGGTGTAATGAGGGGCTGGGAATACAGGCAGCTGAGAAATCGGCAGAGCTATTGCTGATGCTGCTGCTGCCAATTTCAACTGCGCCGCACAGTGGCCCAGTTGCAGCCTCGCTTCAGTTTCAACCATATGATTCGCTCATGATTCGTCAGATCTGCCTGAGACAACACCCCATCCCTGGAGCTTCAGAATCGAGATTTGGAGCAGGGTATATAGTCTGCTAATCGGTTTTTACTTTGGAGCCCGAGGCTGATTAGAAACGTCGTAATAAGTAGAGAAATCTAGGAATCCAGATGTGCTCCTGAAACAACGAGATTTACTAGCATATCAATTGGCTGCCACTTTGAATCTTCTTGTTTCTGGGCTTAAAATCAAACCACACGCCACAGGTTGATTCTTATTTACTTAATACCGTCACATTGAAACAACCACATATCAATAGCCATGGCTTTACCATGGCAGTCCCTTAATCTCCTGCTTGTCCTCATCATCAAGCTGGACGTAGACCTTTCCAGTGTTCTTCACAACCAGAACGTATTCATCATTCTGCTCAAGGATTTCTCCCTTGACATCAACTGGTTCCTCCTCATCGTCCTGGTACTTCTCGAGCTGGCCTGTGGGTGACAGTTGGAGGTAGAAAGTACCTTTCTTGTCATTTGATCCTTTCGGCTGGACCTGAACTGTGCCGCCGTCATTGGTGATCACCATGTAATGCTGTGCGTTCTGACTGCTAATGGATAGATTTGAATACATCTTGTAGTTCTCATGCAGCTTCGACCTTGCGGTGAGCAATATCTCACCAATGTCTTTGTGTGAACCTTCCATTATGACACAGATACAAGTGCTATTGGATACACGCAGCTAGAAACTTTCACAACTACACTGGCAAGCTTGAGTTTGGGGGCTGATATATATACTCTAGCTCATAGAATATTCTAGCATGGTGTGAACATGCCAAGTTGCTCTAGTGGACTGGAAACACTTCATAATATTGAAATCATGTCGAATCACAGCATTAAAGTAATTAATGCTGACTTTAGTTTAGATCATGCTTAACCTGTAATAACAAAAAACAAAGTATCCATTGCATGCATTCATGCAGGCTTCTTGATGGGCACCACAATCGTATAGATAAAATGACATGAATGACTAACTCAACGTTGAGCCGGCAGGCGACCAGGAGGCACGAGCCATCCCGAGCATATTCCTGTCCCTCAAATTAAGTTTGCAAAAATAAGAAATCGCTAGCACGGAATTAATTTCAACACAAGTTTGCATCCATTTCTATTTCTTCGATGGTGGCAGCAGCACAGCAATTGCTCTGGTTTCTGTTTGTTCTTTGCTCAAGTCCTGGACCTTTTGGTTGAATTTGGATCCGTAGAAAAAATCCTTGAAAGCAGCGATTAACTGAGCTGGAAATTCTCTTTCAAGAATCCAGATGAAGTGTTTTTATTTGGTTGAAGATGCTGATTATGCTCTTTCTCAAGCATCTGCAACTCAGGTGTATGTTAGGACCACTATCCTACTTAAACCCAGTCTATTGGGAATACTGGTGTTTGCAAAAACACAATATTGAAATCGATCTTGTACATTTAAGCTTGACAACCGACTAGAAGGTTAGCGATGGTCCACAATTCTCTCTCTGACAACTCCCAATAATTCGTTCAAAGATTTGAACGCATGTGAGGAGCTGCTCATCACGAAGTTTCTAGTTTTGGATGCATGACATATTGCTACTTTCGTCGATTTTCTTGTCTTGATTAAGTAAGATTGATCCCTTAACAAGGAACTCCGAACTTTCAGTTCCCTTCAGATAAATGGTGACGGTGGAGATGGTGCTGATTCTGTTGCTCGTACATGCCCGCCATGGAGATCGGCGGACCACCATAGTACTGATTCTTCGCCTGGAATTGGAAGCTCTCGGACAGGTCCCTTGACCAGCAATTGGGAAGATGATCAGTGACAGGAAAGCTCTTTTTCTTTTCATTATGAACTATTTAAACATGCAACACAAGTGAAAAGAGCTAGGATCGTGAGCCCTCACCTTTCTCGAGCAGAACCACAATGTTCTTGCTTGGATAGCCAGTTTCATTCACCTCCAAATCGTCTCCTGGCATCAGAGGACGGTATCCGTCTTCTGTCAAGTAAGAACACTTCCAGCCCTCGCAATCTGGTACAATTTCTCTTTGTTGGACACCTGCTTGTAGCGGCGAACATCGTCGAGATCCTCGATGTTCTTACGACAGAAGAGGACCGTATACCCATAGTTATGGCCCATCAGCCGCCCTCCTTCAGTCGTCGCGAACACTTCATGCCCTCCTTTGCTGAAATCCACGTAGTTGATTGGCTGATCAACACATCATGACAGTGAGCATAAAAAAGAAAGAAAACAAACAAGAGACAAGATCTTCAGATTGCAATCTCTGCAGAACTTCTCTATCACGTCGCCAAAATGTTCGTCATTGTCCGGTCGATCTACAAAGCGACAGCCATTCGAGGAACCCTCTTATACCTTGATAAAGGTATAAAGTGTATTGTATGGACACCCTAATTGACGCAGCATTTAGAGAGATGTAGTAAATGAGGATAAACGTAGCTAGAGATTTTAGTATGGTCCCATGCCCGCTGCGGTGATCAAAACATCTATCCATCGTGACGTACCTGTACATGCAAAACGATGACTCCACGCTTTGCTGGTGCCAGGAAGTTTTCGCAGTTTATCAAAAGCTCTCACCCGGACGAAGCTCGACAGTAACGCACAACCCTTGACACCGAGAATGAGCTAGTGGCAAGGACCCAAGAGAGATTGGGAGTCCAAGCACCACACGGAATCTACAAGCTCCATACACGACACGAGGGAGAAGCCTTAACTTATTCAATGAAGAATATATATTGATACTCTCAGCCAGACCATGCCAATGGCTGCTGGACATTGACACCCGGCGGGAGAGAGAGAAAAAAAGAGAGAGATACCAAAAACGAGAGAGCCTTCTCCTCATCTCATCTCACCACAACCCACATGAAACCAAGGAAGAGAAGCAAGAGAAACAGGAGTAGAACCAAAGCAGAGAAAACTCTCCAAAAGAACCAGGCACAAAATGCGAAGAGGGAAGAAGAAGAGGAAGAATTCTTAGAGACTATGGCCGACCTCGCGCCTCATCCTGCGAGCTCGTCCTCCTTGTGCGTCTCGATCACCACATCGCTGGTCGGGTATGCCACGCAAGTGAGAACGTAGCCCCCGGCCTTCTGATCGTCGTCCAGGAACGATCCATCCGACTGGTCCACAGTGCCGGAGACGATCTTGCCCACGCAGCTGCAGCATGCGCCGGCGCGGCACGAGTAGGGCACGTCGATCCCGGCCTCCTCCGCGGCATCCAGAACGTAAGTGTCATCCGGGACCTCTAGAACCTCCTCGCCCTTGGGGGTCTTCAATGTGACCTTGTAAGTCGCCATGGCCACTATCCGGGAGGTGGAGAGCGAGGATTTCAGGCCAAACCTGTGGAAGGCGCCGCGGCCACTGCCGCTGCTGATGCTCGCGGCCTTGGAGAATCCATTGCTGGAGCTCCTGGTGGATCTGATTGCTGGCGCTGCCGTCACCGCCACCGCCGCCGCGCAAGGAATTGCCGCTGCCGCTACCGCCGCCATGGGATCGCGAGCGCCTGGGCGAGAGGATCGATCGACGAGGGCGGTGGAGCGCTTGGAATATATTGGCGAAACCCACTGGGGTTTTTCTACACCCACGCTCGGTCACCCTACAAAATGGAGGTGATTGGCCCACATGCGTCCCCACAAATGCGAGCCAACGGGAGAATGCCACGTGCAAAAGTCGCGGCCGCGTCAGCCGCTGACGTGGCGCTAGTCGGCCCACGGCTTGAGTAGCGATTCCACCGTCATTCGTCTCGCAGCGCTGAGCATCTTGATGAAGAATCGCGCGCCGTCGAGTTTATACTCGTCCAGAGGATTCATGTGGCCAAAGCCTGTGATTTGGACCTGTGAGAGACATGGAAAGCTCGTGTGAGAAAAACGAAAAGCTCTCTCTCAAGCGAAATCAAAATCGTGAGAAAAAAGAGTTTACAGACTTACGGCGGATGAAAGCCTGCTCATGTTGGCGAGATGCATTCTCCAGAAGTAGTCCAGAGCACTGATCGCCACAGATCTCTGTGCAAAACGCTAAGCTGGTTTGATCGCTTACGCTAGATAACTTACCTCGACTTGGTTGGCGTCCTCCCGGAATTCCTGGATGCTTTCGAGCTTTCTCTGGTACTCGGCGATGAGTATATCACCAACGTATCTCCGGAAAGAATCTAGTTCCTGGCAGTGTCTCCCGCTCCTGAAAGTAAAGATGGTGCTTAAGATGATGGGAAAATGTGTAGCAACTCACGGCAAAAAGTCATCTCGTTTCCATCGGCTCAAGGACGCTGCTTTCATGGGGCTGTCACCCGCATCCAAGCCCGTTGGAGGCAAGCCTGGGAGTTCTTTCATGAGCCGGGAGGTGGACAGGGCCGACACGATCGTTTCTTTCGTTACATTAGAGAGCAGATCTGAACAAGACTTTGGGTTAGAGAGCGAAAGATACGATCGTTTAACGTACGTGAACCGCGAGGGAATGCGAAGGTGACAGAAGCGAAGTCGTCAAACTCGTCCAGAAAGCCTTCGAGGTTCCAGTTTCTCGGTGGCTGGAAAGTGTGGTTGCTACAGTCTCTCACCAGAAAACTGAAAATGTTATTTACCTTTGTGGGATCGACGTGGTTTAGCACCATCTCGTCAGCAACACCCTGGATATATCTACTCGACATGTCATATAGGCATTCCAAAGATTAGCTCAGAATTTTCTTACTGGTAGAACAGTTGTTGGCACGAGTCAAACGTCCCCATAACAAAGGCCTCTCGGAGCTTGAAAACGTGACTCCTGTGCACCTGATGTTCCACCCGAAAGGGCGGCGGTCAGCAAACGCATACAGCCATAGTTGTTACCAAACGATCTTTACCTCCAAAACTGCGTCATATTCTACCATGTGTCTCCTGACTCCCGAGAAATACTTCTCAACGCTTGTTTGAATAGACAACACCTTGAACGCGTAATTAAGAATTGGCGTGCTTTCGCGCACTGAAAAAGTCATACCTGATGTCTTGTTATGCCGGAGCCAACATCCACATCTTCAACGCCTACTGCTTTCATCAGCTTATACGCTAGTTCACCACCATACTTTTGTAGCATATCATCCTCAAAGCTAGAAAAACAAAACAGCCGTCAGTCTTTGAGAATCGAGATATGATTCTTTGTACCTTATCATGAATCTAGTAGAGCCTGGATCCCCTTGCCTTCCAGCTCTGCCCCGCAACTAGAAAACAGAATAAAATGTTGGCGGGACGTAGAAACATAAAACGTCTTACTTGATTGTCAATCCGACGCGACTCATGCAAAGCTGTACCGATGACATGAAGGCCACCCAATCGTTTCACCTCGTTTCCTTCTAGCAAACAGTAAGCTCGGCAGTCTCGTAGAACAGAAAGACAAGCCAGAGCTATACTGGGGCCAAGTGAAAGCGTCTCTGCACCGCTTCCGCTCGCAAGATCGATTAGCCGATCTTCGTCCTCGAAACGAGCATTATTGAATACGTAGAGTAGCTTGTCCTTCGCCTCACGATAACTAAAGACTTCACCACCACTTCCACACACAACTTTTGCTGAAACAAAAAGCACTTACGTCATTGAAAGGCCAGCTCGAGAAGAGTTACCTGCAGCGCAAGCCCTGAATATTCTGCTAAAAGAAACACCACTAAGCTTTATAGTCGATAACCCCTGATCAAGTAATATAAAGAACTTCTTAGTGGAGGTGCAAGGTGAGATCACAAACCTTTTGCGAAAGTGGAGCTCCATCTGTTTCAACATCCGGAGAATCAGAAGCCATAAAAGGGAGTATTCTCCGCTGAAGGATCTCTTTGGCAAGCATCTAAAAGACAAATGATGCTGGAGTAAATTGCCAATATGCGACTCAAATACCTCAGGATTCCCACCGAGTATAATATCCGTTCCACGCCCCGCCATGTTTGTGGCGATCGTTATTGCGCTTTTCCTCCCAGCTTGAGCAACTATCTCGGCTTCTCTAGCCGCGTACTGTAAAACAGTGAGTTCAATGCGCAGCAACCGCACGAAACACAAACCTTTGCACGAGCGTTTAGAACATTGTGGGGAATATTGTGTTCATGTAGTAACGCTGAAAGAAGTTCCGATTCTTCTACGCTGCAAGAAACAAGTTCTGCCATGTAGAAAACGAATTGTGAATTTTACCTCGTCGTTCCTACTAGAACAGGACGACCTTGAGCATGCATTATTTCGATTTCTTCCCGTACTCTTCTCCATTTTCCACGAGCAGTCTTACAACACAAGCCATGTCATGATAAACCCGTCATGTGAAATTTACACACCGGGAAAATATGTAAAGGCAAGTCCACGCGTATGTTGGGTAGATTTGTAGGTACTTCAACAACAGGCATGTTGAAGAGTTTCAGAAATTCCTTTTCCTGCGGAATAGTTCAGAAAAACGAAGCCAATTTGAGCAACATATAAAACCTCAGTCTTGGCAGTGCCCGTCATCCCTGAAACCTTGGAGTAAAGCTTGAAGTACGATTGATACGTCATATGAGCAGACATAACAGTTTCCGGCTGTCAAGAAGTAGAAAATCAGGGGAAAATGGACATACATTAGGATCGTACATTTATTTTCACGCCTTCTTTTGCCTCGACAGCTTGATGAATTCCATCAGACCAGCGTCTATTAGTAGCCACGCGACCAGTAAACTGCAAATCGAAAGGTTAGAATGAAGGAATTTGTTTTTCTCTTTTGACGAAGCTAACCTCGTCGACAATCTGCACTTTCCCGTCCCTAACGATGTAATCTACATCACGAAAGTAACACTCTTTGGCCTTCAAAGCCGTCACGACAAACCTGGAACGCATAATAAAGTTGTGTTAGATACAACCGTTAATTCACTACAGACCGTGCCCAGGGATCCTTTCCATCCCACAGATTTTCAATGCCGAGAGCAAGTTCAGCCATAGCGACACCCTCCTCAGTAAGTTCCACAGTTTTCTGCTTTTGCTGAACGGTATAATGCTGCAAACATGAGGGAAAAAAGAATTGAAACCAAAACGCAATTGTCGAGGAAAAAAACTTACGCGATCCACGATAAGAAAATCGGCAACTTCAGCTGCAACAGGATACCGGGAAGCATTTTTGGAAGACTGTCATAAAACATTCCTCCAGTGTATTCAATGGAGATACTTTTTAAGCGAGTACCTCTGAGCTGAGTAAAAAAGGATTTCTTCCCTCGTCAATCAGCACCGAGTCTATCTCATCCACAACAGCAAAGTGCAAAGGACGCGGCCTAGGGAATGACATCATTAGCATGCTGAAAATTTAAGCACTAACACGCACCAGCGCATAACCATTTCTTCCTTTGTCGAACAGGTGTGATCCCGCAAGTAGTCAAAAATGAATTCCTAAAAAACCAGACCTCTAGAGTTTTGAAATAAATCCATAGCCCAACTTACCGAATTATTGCCGTAGGTAATATCACATGCATATGCTGCTTTTCTTTCCTCCGGCTCAAGCGAGCTCTATAGGAAAGACTAATCTCAACAAAGAAAAGACAATTCAGGTAAGCCAGAATTACCTTCACAAGGCCAACAGAAAGCCCCAAGAACTTGTAAATTTGGCCCATCCATTCCGCGTCTCGTTGAGCTAGATAATCGTTGACAGTTATCACTAGGACGAAAAAGCTGAAGTGAGTCCCAACATTATAATCGCTAAGAATTTGAAGTCATACCATGGACGCCCTCGCCTGTTAGAGCATTGAGATAGGCTGCATCAAGGCAAGGAACAAGTTAAAAAAAACAGCTCTTCGAACAGGAAAGAACCTGCTAGAGTGGAGACCAAAGTTTTCCCTTCTCCAGTCTTCATTTCCGCAATACTTCCATCGTGGAGAACTGCGCCACCTACAATCTAGCCAACATGAACTCTTGGAATCCAAAACCCACCACCAAAGACTTAAGTTTCTACCTGGACGTCAAAATGCCGCATATTGAGCTGCCTTCGCCCAGCTTCACGTACAACAGCAAATGCCTCTACACTGAAAGCTATCAGTCCTCCACAATGAAATGGAAGAGGGAAATATCTCACCAGATTGAATGTCATTCAAGCTCTCCCCAGCTGCGAGTCGCCGTCGAAAGTAGTCCGTCTTTGCTCTTAGCTGCAGGAAAAAAAGAAAATTCTTGAGAAAGAGAAGTGAAAGGATCGCCACACCTGTTTGTCCGATAACGCTTTCATCTCGGGTTCCAGCTTGTTGACATCCGCGACAAGATTGTAATAGTCGCCAACAATCCAGTGATTCAAGCTAAGCTTCTCTTGAAGAAATCTTCCCACTTTCTCCTGGAAATTCTCTAATTCATCACTACTTCGCTATCCATAGATTCCCTTACCTGGATTCTGGCAGCACTGCTCGTAAATTTCTCCGCATTCTTGGATTGCTCCTCGATGACGAGAGCGCCGGCATTCACGCAGCACACCCTTGGAAAGAACACTTGAGCTCTTGGCCGAGGAGCCGGCAGCTGGGACGAACGGCGGTCGGGAAGATTCCGGATTGCGCAGCAGCGCTCCGCATTGATCATCATTGGCGCTCAGGGCACTGCGAAGAACCCTAAAAATTTATTGTCAGATACATTTTTATATTTCTCGGTCCAAAGCTCTTATCACTGCTGGCTCAAGAAGAAAATCGGCACAGGCTGGTGAATTTGCCAAGAGCCCCGCTTGAGAGTCGACGATCCAGCTCAAACTTTGGCTAAAATGTATCATCATCCAAGCCTAGCTTCTTGGAGAAAAAAAGGTTTTTCTTGCAAGACAAAAGAAATTTTGCATCTTCATTCTGAGAAAACAAGAACAAGAAAGAAGAAAGACACATCTCTGGCTTGATTTCTCTCTTTCTTGTCAGTGATGGGCGTCGCCGTGGTGCTCCTTGGGGCCCCGGATCTTGTCCCACACGAACTCGCCGACGCAGAAGGCGGCAAAGGCGACGGCGGCGGTGCCCAATCCTGGCGCCATGTGTTTGGCGGTCACCTGGAGCTTGGGATCGCGGCGCCACCAATCGATCCGCCGGAAGAACTCGCCAGTGTGCCCCAAATACTCCTCGCCCATGGCTCCTGAGAAGTAAGCCTAAGCCCTAAGACGTCGTTTTATTAACTTTGAAATGAGATATATAGATAGATATATTAGGAAAATTTATTATGCTCTATGATTATTTTGCTCTATAGAGAAAAATATTTTCTTATAAATAAAACCTCACAAGCTTGAAAATCAAAATTTCATAATTATTAAATTGCAATTTCTTTTTTAGAGATCTTAAAATAAAATGTTGAAAGAAAATTCTTAATTAATATAATACACATTTTACATTTTTGCACTCATATCAAGATTATAACATAGTTACTTATATTAAAAATGAATTTTTATATTTATAAATATATATTAAATATGCCCCTTGTCTTATGCATATACCACTATACCATCTAGGAAAGAACCAAATTTTTACAATAAGTCTAACTTTGTTAAATTATTTTCAATATACTAAATATGTTGAAGGGACTTGTAGTAAATTTTATATATATATATACATTTAAAATAAAATTTCACTATGTAATTTTAGTATTTTATAAAATATAATAATAGAATTTAAATTGTAAATAAAACACTTATATTACACAGTTTACAATAAAAATGAGGTTGATTTAATGATTTCAAATTCATTGAATTATATTTTTATCATCAATAAAAAGCATTAGAAATATAAAAGTGGTGATGATAACTTTATACATAGGAAATTTAAATTTCTAAAAATAAATAATAAAATATAAATATTTATTTTGTTATATATTAGTATTAAATTTAGATTTGGATGCACATTCATTAAAAATAATACTTTGATTTGGTATTTTAACTTTAGATGCCAAATGAATTTATGACATTTTGATTAAAGTAATTTTGTTTTAATAAATTTTATTATTTATACTGATAATTGTATTAATCTACTTCTGAGCTCTTGTGAATTCAGTTGAATATCAAAGAAATACTATTTGTACCATTTATTTACAAAGTTAACTTTTATAGTGATTCCATAGTAGTTAAAATTTATCATATTTAATTTTATTATGTATAAATAGCTTATTTAAAATTTTATATTAATCAACTTATACTAAAATAATAAACAATTAAATATTTCTAAGAGCTTAAAATTTTTATAAACTATTGAAAAAAATGAATAAAAAAGCAATTGACTTTCTAACTTAAAATTTTTTTAAAAAGGTAAAAAGATTTGTCTTGAACTTTGGTAATAAGTATAACCAGTTACTGAAAATGGTAAATATATTTATATAAATTCATATTTAATATTTATAAATTAAATAAAAAATACAAAATCTACAACATAAAAAATTAATTTTTTATTATTACAAATTAATTTCTTTAATGTATTGTTGAATCCTGGTCAAAAAATATAAGAGGAAAAGGCCCTGGTGGAAGGAAGACGAGGAAAGCTATGACCGCATCCTACATTGGATGGATGGAAAAGATACCTCGACCGATCGATTCGCAGCAGCAGCGGTGGCGGCAGGAACAGAGCGCTCGCCCGCGGTGGCGCATTTTCGCGCCGATTTTGGACAGAAGGAAAAGAATTTCTTCCCGGAAGGGCCGAATGCATGATACCACGCAAATTCTATGCCCGGGGAAAGAAATACTAAGAAACGAGCATAGCTTCTTCGAGGCCTCACTTCACTCAAATGGCGAATTCACCACCGGCGCTGCTCGCTGGATTGCTCCTCGTCGCAGCCTGTTTCCTCATCGTCGTGCTCCTCCTCACAACCTTGCAGGACACCACGATCGATCATCCGTCTCGATCTCTATCAAAATCGTCCAAGCATGACGCAGCAGCAGCAGACCGTCCAGCTCCCCTGATCATAGCCTCGGCACACTCCGACCTCTACTCGAGGATGCGGATGCTCAAGTCCCTCAAGCAAGCACCACCCGAGCCGCTCAAGTTCCTCCTGGTCACCGCCGATCAGCCGACTTCGTGCAAGACCAGGCAAGGCTCGCACCTCCTCATGATGTCGCTCAAGAACAAGGTAGACTACTGCAACTTACACCAGTGCAAGGTGTGGTACAGCCTCGAGTCGTGGCAGCCGGGCTTCACTGGAACCTGGGCTCGCTATCCGCTGCTCAAGAGGCTCATGCTCGTCAACTCCCACGTCGAGTGGTTCATGTGGATGGACTCGGACGCGCTCTTCACCGATATGTCGTTCGTGATCCCGCTGGAAACTTACGAGAGCTGGAACAAGGACATGATCATTCCTGGATACTGGGAAAAGGTACGTAGATTCAAACGCAAGAGAAAGCAGTGATCATCTGATCTTACAGGTTTATGGTGACGATCCGGACTGGCTGGGCCTCAATGCCGGGATCTTCCTCATCAGAAACACCGAGTGGTCTCGCAACTTCCTGGACAAGTGGATGAGCTTCCGGCCGGATTCACCGCAGCGCAGGCACCATCTCACGGAGATCTTGAACAGGGAGTTCAGGACGCGTCCGAGGAACTGGCCCGCGGACGATCAGAGCGCGCTGGCGTATCTCCTAAGACGAAACAAGACGGAGCACGAGAGGAGGACGTACTTGGAGGCCGGGTACGCTCTCCACGGCTTCTGGGAGGTGATCGTCGACGGCTTCGAGGAGATGGCGGCCAGAGGCAACGTGGGCGATCGCCAAAAGTGGCCATTCGTCACGCACTTCTGCGGCTGCAAGCTCTGCACCGGGGAGTACGCGACGTCGCAGTCGGCGCGGTGCGTGGAGAGCTTCAGGCGAGCGTATAACTTTGGCGATAACCAGGTGCTGGCTCTCGCTGGAATGGCGCATCCGGACTTGTCCAGCCTCGAGGTGGTGGAGTCGTCTGCTTTGTTGTAGTGTGTGATCAAATGAAGATGTTTTAGCAAACCAGCTACCTCAGGATCCTGCATGACACCCTCAATCCTCCAAGAGACAAAAAAAAAGCAGACTCACAGGTGGCCTCGCAACATCCCAGCACAGCCATCTCAAGCTCTTGAACCAAGACAAAATCGAGCTGAGCACGAATCTAGAACGTACTTGTTTTGTTACGCTCTTCACGGCTTCAAGCATCCCGATTTGTCCAGCCTCGAGGTGCTGAGCCTTTTGCTCGTATAAGTAAAACTCTTCTCGAGAAAACTGCAGATAAAAAGAAAAAAACAAACATACAAATCAAGCACTGTTCTGTCATTCATTGGATTCCCACCAGCAGCACCACCAGCAGTGACCACAGTGCCGCTACGCAAAGCTGCTGTACAGTAACTTCCCTCTCGCTTAACTGATCACGACCAAGTAATAGCGCGACGTCTTTTATTGAGGATGGCGCAATCCCCGTTTCCTAATCTCAAACTCACACTCTTGCCTGCTGATAACATTGAGAAAACTTTGAGGAGAATTGACAAGCGAGCTTATAATGACAACACGCACCTTTAATCCGCGAGGTGGAGTTCCTGGTCTAGCTAGATTGGGATGGCCAGTTGACATCTTAGGCTTCTTCTCCGCTGGCTTAAGTATCTGAAACGAGCACATTAGTGTGTCGTCAACGCTCATCATAGCGCCTGAATTGTCGAACTCCCCACAATAGTTGGGTGCCGAAAATATCGTCACAAGTTGTCTGTTGGCGAAAAACTCGTATCCGTCTTCCACCACCTGTTATTGTTATTGCAGACATGGGGCTCAAAGCAACGAGAAAGAAAGAACTCACGAGCATCATACCTGATGAGCTCGACAAATGAGATCGAGGTCCTGCTTTTGAAGAAACTCCGCAACCGCGTTGCTACCAAATGTAAATGAGACACCTCGATCATTCTGACCCCAGCCGTCAACACCTTTGTCGGGGTCGGACCATAGAAGATCACACAAGAGACCGGAATCTGGTACGTCGGTGGGCCTGGGGATTCTCTTGATCTGATCCAAGGTCTTCATGTGGGGAGAGAGGCCACCGTGCATGCACAGGATTTTCTCGTCGATGAGCGCAGCCACCGGGAGGCAATTGAAGCAATCTGTAAAAATCTTCCATAGCTTAATGTTGAACCTGCGCTTGCACTCGTCATAAAAGCCATATATACGATTGATGGAGGCGCATTCGTGATTACCCCTGAGCAGGAAGAAGTTCTCCGGGTATTTGATCTTATAGGCCAGAAGCAGGCATATCGTCTCTAAGCTCTGCTTCCCACGATCAACATAGTCACCCAGGAACAAGTAGTTGGCCTCGGGAGGAAAGCCACCATACTCAAACAGTCTCAAGAGATCCGAGTACTGGCCGTGGATGTCACCTAGCACACGAAGAAAAATCTTCTCGTGAGAAACCAAAGAAATTTCAGACAAAGAGCAAGTGGCTATGCCATAGAACAAAGACAATAAACACGGGCAAAAGGAAACGATCGAACAAAAAGAAATGAAGTCCACCTCTCTGCTAGACGAGAAAAAAGAGAGATTTTCAGATCAAACAAAGAGAAGTGGAACAAAGACAATAAACAGGCAAAAGAAAACAAAACCTCAAAGTCCACTTCTCTGCTAGACTTGAGCGCAATGCTCATTCGCGGAGCTTACCACAGATTTTGATGGGCGCCTCGAGCTCCAGAAGATTGGGCTGCGACATGAAGATGTCCTTGGAGACCACACAAAGCTGCCGCACCTCCGATTCCAAGAGCTGGACCTGCTTCCCCGGGCGGCCACTGCGCACCTCGAGCAGCCGCCCGATCAAATCGTCGAGCACTGCCGGATCCATCGATCGAAAATTAGGGCTCCACCATCACGTTGCCCTACAAAAACCCCAAACGGAAATAAATAAAATAAGCGGTCACGAAACAGCATATTCCGTTAGATATTTTTGAAGTTAGCTTAGGCTCTTAAGCATAGTGTCATTTAGACTAGTCACTATAATCATTGTTAATTGATTAGAATAATGGGCTGCAAACGCTATACTTTTTGACCATATAGTTTATTTTCCAAAGCCAGCTTAGCCCAGGTTTGGTAAAGGGAAAAGTTTTCATAAAAATACATGTAAATATATTGCTATGGAATAGTCTTGGAATATTCCTGTGATTCATGTCACTGCGTGATTTGGCCACACTGTCCACTCTAAAGGCATGCTCTCCCTCTATCCTCTCAAGATCATTCACGCAGGCAACACGACCATCTTGAGATTTGTTTTGGAGGGGCAAAAGGTGGCAGGTCTTGGCTTTGGAGTAGCCTTCAAATGCATCAAGAGTTCCTGTGCTTCTACTTGATCAAGAGTGAGACTTGGAGGAGAATGCCAGCTCCATCACTGGCTTGCCGGGACGAGCTTGTAGCGGCCAACACCACACTGGTTTTGCTAAAGAAAAACTTGAAAGGCACCAGCTTAGAGTTCCCTGTTCATGTATGGAGCTCCAAGCTTGCAGGTTTCTTGAGGACAAGGCCTCCATCACAGGCTTCTGGGTGAGCAATGCAGTCAATGACCTTCCAAGTTTCAGCATTGTCTGTGCCAAGCACAAGGACACCTACATCTCTACTTCCCAGAGTGGATCTTGAAGACCTAAGCTTGGTGGATGCTTTGCTCTTGCAGGAGCACACAGCCAGCCAAGGAAGTACTTCTGGCACCTAGAAGATGACTACTTTGAGTTGCAAGGGCTGCTGACTGGTTGGTGCTCACCAAGTTGGAGCATAGTTTTTGGTTCCAGGCCAAAGGATATCTCTCAAGAATAAGGACTGGATAGAGGCCATGTATATGGGGGCTGGTCACTTTGGAGACCTCAAGCTTGTTGTGGATAATAACAACCTTGACATCCACATTTTCAATGGAGATGGTAGCAAAAAGTGTGCTAAACTTGCATTGGAATAAATGGAGTGGCATCACCAAGAAGATAGTGGAAGTGATTCTTCATGGAGTCCATGCTCAGCAATAGGGAAGCATGGTGTACATCCAAGTGGAGGGCCAAGAAGAATCTCTAGGCAAGAAATGGATCATAGTAGAGGTTGTGGGATCACTATCATGGTTATTGATTGGCTGTGAAGTGTTGAATGGCCAATCAGTTTATAAATTTTTTTTGATTAAATTTTTTTAAAAAAAAAAACCAAACTACTAAAAGTAAAAAAACTAAAGCATTAGAAATTATATCTTCTTCAACATCTTTGGCAACTTCCTTGAGATTTCTGGCATCTTCCAACAATTTGTAAATGACTAATTTTTCCATTATATTATAGTCATTTAACCATACCTTTGACGACTTGGAGAAGTCTCATTCACAATCTCCATAAGTTCTATTCCCAACTTGGGGACTTGCTAGCTTTGTGAATAACATTTATGCTATTTTGCCTTTGCACTTGGTCCAAGTGCTTCACATGTCCAATTCACTTATAGACATTCAAAAATACTACTAATATATCAATTGTAAGCCACAAATTTTTCATTTCCAATTTGCCAACTTACCTCGTCTATCCAAGCTAGCCTTAATTAAATTTCTTTGCCAAGGTTCCTGCCTATTGCACCAATTCCTACTTGGTTCTACTTAGTTTTAGCTACTCACTACACAAGTAATAGAGTGTTAACTATCCATTTATGAATTCCTAAATTCTCTCCTAATCCTCTTTTCCAGGTTAGATTAAACTTAAAATTCGGTTACATTCCTTATAGGCATAAGCATTTAAGCACACCAAGCCTTTAGATTTTTAACATCCCTTGGTACAACAAGATTTAATCATAAGACCCTTTAAAGCCCAAGCATTATATGCATCTCTTACTTCATGACCCCAAGGGGAAACACCATAGCCTAACAACCCAATATAAATACTTTTATTCCCCTACTTTCATCCCAAAGGGAAGGCTTAAATCCATAAAAAGGAGTGAGGACCAAGAAAGCACCACAATCAATTTTCCTTCTTGGAGTGGGAGTTGCTCTTAAGCACTTGGTGGCCTCTTTAACATTGCTTGAATTTGTGTTCACTCCCACCCAAGGCCCCTAACTCTCAATCCCAACCTCAAGCTAGTTTAGAAGCACCATTAGAGAATTTTTTCTCCTAGACCTCATTATCCTTATTATACTTTTAAAATCAAGATGCTACCCCTTGGGTCAAGCCCAGCTAGAGGCAAATAGAATTTGCTAGATGTCAATTTTACATGTGGTGAGATTTCCCTAGCCAACTAACAGAGTTGAACCCAAGATTGCTCTGATACCAAATGTAAACTCCTGAATTTGGACTTCTTTGGAAGTCACCCAACTTAGTATTATTCAAACACAAGGACACTTAACCTTAAATATTTTAAAGATTGAAAAAGGGGTGCATTTTTTATCATGAACCTTTTCTTTTTATATTTGAACCCTATAGATCATTTTTCAAGTTATTCCCTTTAGTTACTTACATCAATCTTTACATTAAGGCTATGTTCATTCACCTTTATCTCATTAGTAACATACCACAGCCTTGTCTCTTAAAGATTGGGTTATCTGCCTATAAGTGGTCATACCATGACCACACCTTAACATCCTTAGGATGCTTAGAGATATGGGGAACACCTTTCAACAATATCTCTTCTTTAGTCTCTACCAAATCCCTCTCCATCCATTGTTATGCTCGTTAACATCACCCTTAAGTCAAGGCCTAAAAGCATGACTATTAAATCCCATTGACCTTTGAGACTTCCTTACCATATGATTATGTCCTTAGTCACTACCTAAGAGAACTACTCTTTTTTTTTTCCACAGTCCAGGACTTTAGAATAAGATTTTGAAACACTACAGCCTTACATATGCCTTGTGAGTACTCCCCCCACCTTTTACCTTTAAGTGCTCTAGCTATATGGCTAGAGTGAGGTTTTGATAAGCCACACTAGGTATCCAAGTAGATAGTGCCACCCACTCTTGAATTAAAAGCATTGACCACACGATCTCTTAGGGGAGCTAAACCCAACTTTTGAACACTTTATTATGTTATCCCATTTGTCTATTTATGTTTACTCTAGCCTTAAACTCTTTAATAGTTATATTGTCACCCACAACGTGGGTGTAGCCTTCTTGAGTCATAATAGCCTTTCTTCGCCAAATTGGTTCTACTGAAGTTTAACCCCCACACTCTCCCTACTATACTTTTAAAACCCCCTTAGGGGACGATCGCTTTGGGTTTTCACCCCACAATTTATATTAATATTTAGACCTGGTCTTAAACTTTGTCTTGAACTTTATCTCAAACTCAATCTTAGATCCATCTTGGACTCTATCTCAGATTCGGTCCCAACAGTTCTATATGTCATGGCAGTTCACATGTGTCAATCCTTCTTGTGTCCCTTTCTAGAGACTCATTCATTAATAGCTTCATATTTGTTTCTTGAGAATTTTGTTAGAATTTCCATTTTTGCTTTTGACTTTTCGAGTCAAAGTTTTTTATCTAGATATGTTACACTTGTTAAACTCAAGCTTTGACCACTATCATATGGCACACTTTTGGCTCCACTTTAGGGCTTAGGAATTTATGTTTCACACAATCCTTACATCCTTATTTAGAAGATCTTGTTTGACTTGCATCTCTAAATTTTTTATATCAAGAGATTGAAGTTTAGTTTACATGTTAACAATTTTCATACATTGTGGTTCGATGACAATTGTGTCAAAATTGATTTCTAGGAATTTCATTCCTTCACTTTCAACATGATTCACCACTCTTGTGTTGCTATACACATAAACTAACTTCTTTAAGTTCTCGGGAAGCAAGCAAAACCAAGATACACTTAATTGCATCAATTTTATTTACATTAGGCTTGCCATTTTAAGTTGCAAGCTTCAATTTTATTGTTACATATTTGCAATCAACACAATATAACACCTTCAAATTAAGAGTTATTATAATTCATAAAGTAGAAGCATTCTTCCAAAATAAGGAGTTGTAACTGTACACAAAGAAGGTTGAGTTTTTGCTATATACATTTCAGTTCTTTCAACTAAAAGCTTACGCTTCTCGATCGAGTTCACTCGTAAAACGGTTCTTCCAGCTTCATAGTTAAGGAGGTCTCAAAGTCAATGGATCTTTCTTGCTATCATACAAGGAAGAATAGCAATAGTCTGTTGTGGTGGTGGTGGTGGAGGGAGGAAGATTACTACTATTACTACTACTACTACCACTCAGCGCCTCTTGAGACCCCTGTCCTCCATAAGCTTCTTGAGCTGGAGGAGCTTGATGTAGATCTTCCCAAACATCAAGTAAGCTAATGCATTCTTTGGTTCCATCTTAAAAACTTAATCTGCAGCTTTTTTGCCCAACTCCACCTTCAAGTGCCTCTCACAGTCAGCCAACAAGCTCATCCAAGTGCTGCAACTGGGCTCAAACAGCATTGAGTTGATGACCATGCTCCTCTTCTGCCCCTTGCGCTGGAGGAGCTTGAGGTGTCTTAGAACTTTTATAACTTTTACATATTCCTTAGAGTGTTGGTGTAATATCTCTATATACTTTATCATTTGTTTATTATGAATACAAAGGCAAAAGGAGCAAATGTAAATTATAATAAATTTTAGCAAAGTATAGGCAATTGTTGGTTCTTTAGAAGACTTAGCTATGATTTATTTAGAGAAGTTATTTTCTAATTTTGGTTTGCCAAATGACATTATCAGTGATTGAGACTCAAAGTTCATTAGTGGATTTTAAAAAGTTCTGCAAGGCTATACAAATGATTTTGAAGCTCTTGAGTGAAAATCATCCTTAGATAAATAGACTAAATGTGTGAATTAGTTAGTGAAGGATATATTTCCATTATTGTAATTTGCCTACAATAATAGCCAATATAACCAAACTAAATCTTTCCTTTTCCATATTTGGAAGGCATCTCAAAATAATATTGAAGTTAAAATTCCATTTAAGTAAGGATGTTTAAAACAAACTTGATTAGACATAATTGATTTAATCATATAACTTGATGAGATTCTAATGGTGTGAAAACAAATTTTGTAGGTAACTCAAGATAGGGTGGAAAAGTTTACCAATGAGCACCATCAATTCTAGGAATATAAAATAGGAGGTTTTATCTTTATGCAAGTGATTTTTATGTCAAATGAATGATGAAACACCTTAGTGCATTTGTAGAAGGGAAAAGTGAAAACTTTCTCATAGATATATTGTGTTAAAGTGTATTAGTGATTCAATTTTGATTTGACTAAGAAAATTATAAAACTCAAACCACATACTATTAAACTTCATTGGTATACCAATCTTTATCTTTAAACCAAAAAGCTATTTTTTGTGTTAAATAATTTTTTAGAGCTACAAATGAAGTGTTATATTAGATTACTCTAATACTTTATATAACTTCTGCAAGAGTATCAAAAATTAACTACAGTTAAAGAAGAGGATTAGACGTCAAAACTATTTATAAAATACTAAAATAAAAGCTAAATTTGTGTTAAACATTTTGAAGTCTTCAAACCCTACTTTTATATAAACTCTTAAAACTAATTTTTTCCAACCCGAAACTAATCTAAAAACCTAATCTATGTATAAAGCAAGTCTTGAGTTCAAATCTCATTGGCGGAGTTTTGGGGTTGGAGGCCTCAATAATTACAAAGAAATGTTCAATACATTTACACATTCAAGTAACCAAGAGGAAGTCTAAGTTAAGTATTCCGAAGTCCCACTTGATTTTCCAAATTAAAGCCTTGTATTCTCTGGTGGTAAAGCTGGTAGAGTGTGCTTACTAACACAAAAAACATGGATACGTATCAAAGTTCAAACACATTGCAGTTCCTTGGAATAGCATAATCAAAACAAAGGCATTCTGTTTAGTGATTTCAACTAAGAATTTACACTGAATCTACTAGAAAAAATCTTGGCACCTGTATATAGAAATATATAGTAAGTATTCCAATGAGGTTCTTTTATTCACTAGCCTAGTGTAATTTATTTCTCTTTAACTATATTTCTCTTTAACTATGAATATCATGCAACTTAAAGATGGCATACCATGATATTGAATAGTTAATATATCAATGATCTTATTATCATCAATGGACCACAAGCACATAAATTAATTCTTGATAATACCCCCACACCATGCTCAAGCAGTTTTGTTTGCTGGAATAAAAGAAGAGACACTCCCACAATTTACAATTGACTCCTGCAGAACTGACAGCATTACAAAAATATGACAAATAAGTTAGATTACCATTCAAAATCCATCTCGCTTCAAATTAACTTATTCTAATGGCATATAATGTTGTTTGCACAAATAACCTCGTACTGTATATCTTATCTATACTTTTAGTCCAAAGAATTGTAACTTCACAATTAACAGGTTTCATCGATAACACCTTAATAAAAACACTTATAAAAGATGAATTCCCTGGAGCAAAATGGATCTTACCAGGATTTTAGAATAATTTTACTTAAGGTATACAACAAAATAATGTTTACAACTACAATAGACATTTGGTGAGTGGCTAAGAAAGCATGCAAGAAAATCTCTGCCTATACTATCCACCACGACCCGCTTCGTCCATGCTAAATCCCTCCAGGATGGCTTGCCATCCATCACCGGAAGCTTCTTGCAGCTGCCCTTGCCTGGATCGAAAACTGGGACGATCTGATGGCCCGCTTGTGCTGTTCCAGCTCGGAGGATCACTGAAGGCCAAAAAAATGGTGTTTTCTAGGACAAGAACAGCATTAGGATGGTGCGCCACAGGCCCAATCCTTGGTGCCGTAGAATGCTGCGACGAAGCCCACTCTTACGCTAGAATCTCCTGCCAAAGAATTTGAAAATAATCAAACCCCACACTGCTTGCCAGCGCAATCCCAACGTCATGAGATGGCACATGAGATCAGCAGGCCTCTGATCAAGGACCAGTGATACGTCAAACCCTTGCTCGGCAACAATAAGAGCCCCGAGACACTGACAACATCCCTGGAGCTTCTCGACTCGTCACATAAGAACAAGACCAGAAATATGGCAAAAACTTACTGGGATGAATGTCATTCCCGATCCAGCAAGGATGGAAGTCATGACTTGGAGCTTGATCCAGGAGCGTTCAGACAATTATAGGTGACCAAATTTAACCAGAGATGACAAAAAATAACATTACAATTGAGGACATCTGGAGTTAAAGAAGCACCTCACAAGAATATACATTTAGGTTTTAAGGAATATTCTTACTTATTCTTGATAGTTGTATTTATTATTTAAAAAAAACTGGAGCAAGAGAACAACGATGGAGCTCATTTCTACAAGGCCACTAGGGCTGCCGCCTTTGATTGCGGCAGAGATATTAAGTGAGGAATTTTTTTTAGGGCTTGGGCGAGTGCGCAATTATCATGTTGGTTTTCTTGAATGCCAGTGCTCTCATATGTTTGGATTGATGTGAGACGTGTCTGTACATACTCAATGGATTGTTTACTATGGATATAAAGGCACATCAGACTCATCAATCTCCATCAACTGTAAACCTTCAATCATCCAAGATACTAAAGTAGCATTTTATATTTATATATTACACAACTATATTTTAACTTATATAAAAATAATATACTAAAGTAGCAAATATGCTCTAACCTTGAAACTCTTTTTAGGGTACCTTTTGCCCAGTCATGCATGGAGCACTTTGAAGCTCGGGAAAGGCAGGTTCTTAAATCATACTAGCATTCCTAAAGCTTAGATGAGAGGAAGTTTGTGGGAGTGTTAAAAGTCAAACAAGATCCTGGAGGCCAGCAATAGCAGTGACGAGGTAAGCTGAAAAAAAAAATCTGAATGGTCGCTTCTTGTGTTGAGTGAGTTCCTACGACATCATCTGGTCGCCCACCTCTCACAGATGTGCTGTAATGCTGCTATGCTAAGGTGTCTTAGAGACACACTGCTGCGATCAATCTTTAGCAAAGCGGATGCATTTTTTGTTCCCAGTGTACAGAGAGGAGAGCGTGGTCAAAATGCTAACGCTTTTATAATCTGTCTCTTATCGAGTTTAGCATCAGAACAGAGACCCCTGGCAACAGTCCTGCCGGCTACAAACCATTTCCTTATTGCATTTTACGAGCTTGCATTTTTTCGCCTCCTCTTGGCTGCAAAAGCAAAAAGAACTTCAGGAGTGAGCATGCCAATTTATGAAACTGACCTCTGCTGTCCCTTGCATGCACTTCCACCTCCTGTACCTCCGCTGCAACAGTTGCCCTTAGGACTTCCTCTGCTTTTCGAGCCTGCTCCTTTTGGGCTTTGGCTGCCTTCTTGGCTTCCTTCTTCCGAGCAACTTCCAAGCAACCTTGGCAATGGACCTTCAAATCCTCGCAAGCCTGATGATACCAGCATTCACAGTTTTCACACTGCACCCACAGCGCGTCCTCAACAGTCTCCTGATTATTACAAACACAGCATCTAGGATTTGCCTGCATTAGATAAATAAATGAGATAATATAAAACTGCAAGCGAAAGCTGATTACCTCTCCACCGTACTTCCCATCCCGCAGCTTCTCCAGCTTCTCGTCGATACAGGCTAAGATCTTGTCAAAGCACCCGAAGTTAAGATAGACCTCATGGTAGACACCTCCCGCCACATCAAGCTTCCTTGTCTCAAACCAATGACTCGTGCAGTATACCACCCACGCCAGGACGTGCGACCTCGACTTGTCATCTGAGACGAACAATTCCCGTGCTCTCGGCCTGATATGGTTGTGATCCTCAATCGCTCGAGCCCCTGTTGCAAACTGGATGACTACGAAGTGCGAATATGCAACATAGTAACAATCGAGTCCTTTCTCAGTCCCATGAATAGGAAGAAAAAGCGTCGCAACGGAGATCCCTTTGGTCATCGCCATTGTAAAGCTCCCACGAAATTGGCGGACTGCTGCCGGAGTTATGGTCACAGAAGCATCTTGGTCATACTCTATGACGGGTTGCTTGTATCGGGCCACAAGAATGCATGCCTGCTCTATGTTCAGACCAATTCGTGAGCAAATACCGGGATCGCTTTGGATAACTGATGTCCACAGCCGAATCTGCTCATCGATCTGCTCCTTATCCACTAGACTTGCCACGAGCATGAACTGGTTTGCTGCGTAGGAACGAAGCTGCTCTGAGAGACATCTCGCTATTCCGTCAGCACCCCTGTAGAACAGCCCGGTGGCTTGCTCTGCAAAAATGTCGTCATCGCCATCATCCTCAAGAATTCCTTTCGAGATGAGCTTGGAGAAACGGGGCCAATCTTCCGAAGGTAGATTCCGGATGTACCCTTTAAGAGTCTCATGGTACTTCCGATCGCTCCTGGTGGCAACCAATCCCGGAACCCAGCCAGTCTTCCACCAAATACTTTCTTTTGTAGTATTAGCGTCGGCCTTCACGAATGCCAAGTAGTTTGTTATTTCAACCTCCTAAATCAAGCAGATAGAGTTTAGTACAGGCAACATAGCATGAAGATCGAGCTTACGTTGAATCCGCCGTTGATGAAAAGTGAGCGATCTTGCACCTTCAGAAACTCTTGCCACTTCCCGCACAAGACTACAGCACCAAAAGTAGCAATACTCCGGAGTAAAACCGCATGCTCGGCAGAGATCTCAGGACCACCGTCCAGCACCAGATAAAGCCTTCTATTGTTATCACCCCGAACTATCTTCTGCATGATCTTGATCACCTGATTGGCATCTTTGTCATCCTTGAGGTTCTGAATGTAGTAGTGAGCGGCATTGCTGTCGTGATAACCCAAGGCAAGCGAGCGGATGAGCGTCAAAGCTGGATAATTCGAAAATTCCTCCCCGTTGACGTGCATCAGCCTTCCGTGTGCCGAGGAAACAAACTCCAGAAAGAGGAACAGGGACGCAGCACGGACGCTGTAAGTCTTTCCAGACGATGCTGATCCGAGCACGAAGTTAAACTTAGAGCGCCTGACGGTCGAGTCCCGGATAAAAGTGATAAGTGAGCTGATGCACTGTCGGCCCATCACTGCCACCGTTTCCGCGCTCTCCATGGTCGTGATGATGCTCTCTTTAGTAGGGTCGGAGAGAGCCTGGAGTGTAAGAGCCTCATGTTGTCCATGAACACCATAAGAGCTTATCAACTCGGTAGCCATTGCTACCGCATCTCGGCAAATGCTGGCAAGAGTTGAGCTCAATGGACTTGATGGAGCTGAGTAACAAGCAGAGTAAGCATCAAGCTACATCCAAATTCTACACGAATACCTGGCGGTGCTCTGCGGACATGCAATGTGAACGAGGGCGGCAAAGGACTGGTGGACACTTCATTAACTTCAACCCACATGGCCGATCCTGCTCTGTAGATCGACTCCACATCGGGATGGAGATTCTTGAGCCAAACCCATAAAGAGCTCTGATCTGTGATACGAGATGGCACCTCGCACACATTGGCGGAGATGGGCACGTCCTGTGGAACCACCGTCCTCGCGGGATGCACAAAGACGCGCCGAACGCTCGTAGTCGGGGCGAGTAAATCCATTTCCGCCCTAACATTCTTTAATTTGTTTTTATGACTGTTACTAGCAATTGCTAGGTGGTTGGCAAATTTGATGCCATTTCAAGAGGTTTGCTAAGTTTAGCTATGTTTACTGTTTGATCAACTCCACATTTGAAAGACATTCTCTTGACCAAATGTGCATTACTATTTTATAAATGTTGTCTAAACTCCTCAAATCCAAATTTCCTATGCTGGAATTTATGAACTCTACCCATGAGCATTACATAAGTTAAGATTAAATCACTGTTGAGTTGCATTCCTCCATTTTGAACACAAAGAGCCCAAAGAATACTTCCAAGCCCATCTTTGGTGCAAGTGTTGCTATTTGCTTCACAGCTTGCTAGAGAGGTTTTTGGGATGAGCTGGAAACCATTATACTGCAATAAGAGTTGCACTCAAGGCCAAACTTTCAACCATGTTAGCATTTACCTCCCCCAATCTATTTTCACACATAATCAACTTTATATTGCTCTCTCAAGGTGTAGATCACTTGAACAACTTTGTGTTCAAGTGCTCACAACCCCCCTCCAAGACAATCTTATACCATATGATTAACACTTTTACATTATGAATACAGTCTATGCTGAAATTCTTAAATAAACTAACAAATATATGACAGTTCCAAATCCAACTATGATTCCACAAAGTTACCTACTTAGCCACCATTGACTTGCAATTGTGAGTTTCAAGTGCATGCCACAACAAAGGCCACAACAAAGCTAGTATTGATTGGTGTGCCTTGGTGTAGCACACCTTATTTCTCTCCCCTTAAGCCAACTGGAAAAGGGGCAATTGCTTGATGAGAGAGCCCTTAGTGGTTATTTTATCCCCATTTATCCCCCAAGGTTCCAAGGATCCACGGTGACAGTATATCCAAATCTCATCCCATGATCACATGCGCTACACTCACCCCCCCTTCAGAGATGTCAATGTCCTCATTGACTATTGACTAGCAACCCCTACTCTTGGAACCACGGTCCGTGGATACTCCACACAAGAGGAAGGACGTACGCATGGATGCCCAATACGTACGATTTCAAATTTAGGGGTAGGAATATACCTTGCTCAAGGGTATATTATATTTTAAGTAGCCACTAATCAATGGGAATCGAACCCGTGCCATTTGCTCCGATACCAACTGTAGCACACATTATCTCTCTCCCCTTAAGCCAACTGGAAAAGGGGCAATTGCTTGATGAAAGAGCCCTTAGTGGTTATTTTATCCCCATTTATCCCCCAAGGTTCCAAGGATCCACGGTGACAATATATCCAAATCTCATCCCATGATCACATGCGCTACACTTGGGTGGTGTGCCATTTTGGTTATGGCAACGTGTTATTGAGCTGCTAATGGCAGATGTACAGTTTTCATTCTGTTGCTTCCTGGTTTTAGAAATAGTTAAGTAATAACCCAGATGAATTAGGAATTGTCTTTGGGACATTTTGAAAGCGATTTCAACATTTGAAGGTGTAAGGGTAATATGTGGAATAAAAACTCACAATCCCTTGAATTGTCCCATGATAATTTCACAATCTAAAACATTTTGGGATGCTTGCTTGAGAATGAGGTGAGTGCCATTGCATAAACCAATTTGTGGAGATATATTCTTAAGAAGAATCAAAATAATATTTTGTTTTAGAATTAATTTGTGTGGTAGTAGTCTTGATGGGGCGATTGAATTTAAGAATTCAATTAAGAACTCTTCAAGGTGATTTGAGTCAACTATGTCAATGCTCAAGTAAATATATGGATCACCTGGTAGTCTTCCAACCAAGTCATTTTTTATTCTAAATGTGTTGTCATTGAATGGGGTGAGAATAACTTTTGATGCAGCTATGTAAGTCTTTATAATGTTATTGGTATTTGGAAAAGCAAAATTTACAACAAGTGTAAAGATAGATAGTGCATGTGGTATTTGGATAATATCTTGTGGGAGATATAGCAATTGCAAACTATTATCACCATTGCCAAGTTTGATAAGCCATTCAAAAAAACAAAAATTGCTTGAACTCATGTTCTTTATTAGTGTTAGTGTTGTAAAGAGTGACTATAGTTTATTCATTTTAACTAAGCTTGAAATAATAGAAGTTTTATGGCCATGGGGAACAATAGAAAGGGTTTAACAAAAGTCACCATTTATAATCACTATAACACCTCCAAATGATTTAAAATTACATTGGAAATGCTTTAACATTTATTAACTGTAGAGAAAGTATATGTGTGGACTGTACTAATTTCATCCCATATGACAATATTTGCTTGTTTAATGGTTTTTCTAGCAACACTATTAATTATTAAAGCAGAGATAGAAGTTTCATTTAAAGAAATAAAAAGTTTAAAAGTTGTATGTGCTGTTTAACCATATTTTAGCAAATGTTTGCAATCCTAGTCTATGCCATACTGATTACTTTTATTTTTTCTAATTATAATGCTGTAATGATGGTATTAAGTAGAAAAGTTGTCCTAGCACCACTAAGTTCATCAATAAAGAAACATTGATGTTGGTTTGTGTCAATGACATTCATAATGAGGTAAAAAATATAACATTGTTCATGATTGAATTAATTTATGTTTGCATTGATTTGGTTTTGTGATGGATCAAGGATCTGTGTATTAAGCATATGTTTAATAATGGGAGTAAGAGTTGGGAGTGGTAAACCAAAATCACAATTAAATTTATTGTGTAGTTGGAATTTTGAGTTAATATTGAGTAAAGCAATATCAAAATAGTTTATATTATTTCTAGCGTAATCCTTAGATATATCAATTTTAAATTCATCCCATAATAGATTTGGATCTTTTAATGAATAATATAAAAAAAATAAAAACAAATAACTATTTTAATTGGGATGTCATTTTAAAAGTTGTATGCAATATTACCATTTTGAATCATCTGCTAAAAGCCCCATTGTCATAGCTATTTGTTTAAAAGAGGAATTTTCAATAATACACCATTTTTATAGAGTAATATAAGCCACAAGTGGTACAAGGAGATATGAAATACATTCTTAATATGATTTTAGCTTTTTGTTAGCGTAATTGTCATTTATGAGAAGATTTTTTATATGTGTAGTGCAACATAATTTAAGCATATATGTATTGCCTTACATTAATATTTTGCATATTTAAATTGAACTATTGTGTAAGCATTATTCATTTTGAGTGGCTCTTTCTAGTGCTTCTTATTCATGACCTAGTATGAAATAGACTATATAATAGTTAGTGATTTATTATGCATATGAAACTTAAATATACACCACATGGCTTTGGGAGTAGAAATATATCGAACATCGACAAAGATTGAGATTTCATCCCAATTTAAAGTCCTTCATTCTTAAGATGTGGTTAGGAATTTTAATGTTGCACAATTATAACCTTTGTATACATATTGAAATAAATATTTAATATACATTGATGTGTGCTTTATATTTCTTACAAATGTATTTATTATAAGGAACAACCCATTTATTATCAATAGTACAACCATTTTTTATGAAAGTGCATCTGTTATTTGGTCAATAGTTATCAGGATAATCAATAAATGGTCTCAATATTAAATTATTTTGGATAATTCTTAAAGCATTTGTTATTTTCCATGCAAGGGTTTCTAGGATTCAGATAACCACATGAACCATGTATTATATAATTTATAATTATGTTATGCAATTCTGGTTTTAGCAATGGATGTGGTAACTGTGTAGTGACAAATTCATCAATTGAGTCATGGTTTTTTATCTTGTCTTCACTTAATAACATTGCTAAAAAATGACAATGAGACAAATCTATTTTCTGGAATTTAATAACATAAATATATGCCATGCACTTCCTAAAAATTTCTTTGATACTTATGTCATGTAGGAATTTTTTAAGTTTCAAGTTGAAAACTCTTGAAATAAGATTAAGTTGATCCTCAGGTGATTCATTTGGCTGTAAGTTCTGCATAATTTCAGGCCATTTTGGGTTACATGTAAATGTAATATATAAGTTAGGTTTTTCAAAATGTGTAACAATAATAATAGCATCTTGATGATGTTGTTGCATTGCTCATAGGCTACTAGGAAATGTAAAAGGCAAAATTATAACTCTTCCAAGTTCAGCATTATTAATAGTAGCTTTGTTGTTAACATAGTCCATAAAATCTATGTAGTATCCACTTTTAAGTGTTTTTAATGAGTGCAAAAGAAATTAAGGTAACATTTATATAAGCATCAACCATAAATTGTTAAGTGAGTTTCCCAACATGTAGCACCTGATCATAAAGGAAAGAGTTGTCAATGCTATCCCATTGAGATAATTGATATGTATAGTACTAGAGTAGTGTTACATATGACTCATTGTGGTAAAATTTTTCATGCTAACCTTTATCACCAAATGGCAAAAGTAAAAGATAAATCATAAGATCACAAATTTCATTAAGAATAGAAATGTTTTCTGGCTGTGAGTTATATAGATGTATGTATATTTCTCTATCAAAAAATGGCTCATCCTTATCGATAGCAAAAACAATAGCAATATCATTAGTCTGTGGCAAGTTATAACAATGTAGATTAGTACCTTCACTTTTAACAATCATGTAAACACTATGTTTTGGAATTCCATTGCAAATTGAGTAACATTGTTCTTGTGATTTAAAATCATACATCATTTGAAAAGCTTGTGCATATGGGTTTATTATTTTTAACAAGTGATCTAATTGTAATAATAAATTAAAATCACAATTTGTGTTGAATGGGTTTTGCTTTCTAATATTTGTAGCCTCATATGTGTCAAACATGATGGTAGCATGTTAGCAGCAGGATACGTTGAAGCAATATTATGATAAATTTGACCATGTATTCTAAAGCAATATGGGCCTTTACCACTTAAATTATTAACATTAGCACCCATTGATGAAAAGCTAAAGCACTATTGAAATTTCTTATGTTAATTTTGAAGTTAGAGTTTTTATTTTCATTAAAAAGCATACGTAATATAGTAGGTA